GTAATGTGTCCTTAACTAGAAACACCCATAAAACAAGGTTATGTGTTGATTAATTGTCAAAAATGTTATGACCAGAGATTTGTAGGAACCTGACACTGTATTCCCTCTAGAAGCAATAGTTCAGGATTTACCAGTTCACTGTTTGTGGTGATGATAGAACACAACTATGATTGACATATCATTATTTCAATAATGGGAATTGACTCTGTATTCTGTACATTGGTTGGAAGACTCAACTTTGTTAAAATGTTGATTTTTACCAAATTAATGTACAGATTAAAGAAAATTTTACTCTAATCCTTGTAGGCATTTTGTTTTTAAAAAAATAGTTCATAGACTTTTAGAGATGGAGGGAGAAGAGAGAAACATCAATGTGAGAACACATTGATAGGCTGCCTCCTGCACACACCCACCCTACCAGGGACCAAGCCCACAACCCAGGCATGTGCCTGACTGGGAATTGAATCAGCAACCCCTGGGTGCCCGGGACAGTGCCCAACCAACTGAGCCACAACAGCCAGAGCCTTGCAGGCATTTTTGCCTAAAATAAAATTCTTGTTGCTCTAGCCAGTTTGGCTCAGTGGATAGAGCATTGGCCTGCGGACTGAAGGGTCCTGGGTTTGATTCTGGTCAAGGTCACATGTCTGGGTTGCAGGCTCTAATCTATCCTCAGTAGGAGGTGTGCAGGAAGCAGCCGATCGATGATTCTCTCTCATCATTGATGTTTCTGACTCTCTCCCTCTGAAATCAATAAAAATATATTTACCAAAAAAAGTTCCATCTTTAAAAAAAAAAAATTCATGTTGAAATGCAAGAACTTAGAATAGCCACAACATCTAAGAACAGTGTTGGGTGGGGGGGCAACACTAAATTTCAAGAATTATTATAAAATTACAGTAAAAGTAGCATTGGCATAAAAATGACAAATAGGCTAATGAAACAGGAGGTAGGTAGTCCAGAAATAAACCCACTTATATATAGGTAATTGATTTTGACCAGCCATTAAACAATATAGTGAAAAAAATATATAGCCTTTTTCACAAATAGTACTTAAACATTGCGTATCAATATGCAAAAAAATAAAATTGAATACATACCTTGCACTGTATATAAAAATTAATTTTAAATGGCTCAGAGACCTAAATATGCACCTCAAATTGTAAAGCTGCTAGAAGAAAACATAGGAGAAAATCTTTGATATCTTAACTAGGCAATTATTTCCTAGTTACAACACCCAAAGCACAATCTGTAAATGAACAAATTGATTAATTAGACATTATTAAAGTCTGTTTTTCAAAAGACACTGCTAAGAGAATAAAAGGAGATGCCACATACTGAGAAAAAAAATCTTTGCCAAACGTATACCTGATTAATACTAGTACTACTTATATTTAGAATATATAAAGAACTTCAAATAAAACAATAAGGAAAAGAAATAACCCAATTAAAATGGGTAAAATATTCAGATAGACACTTCACTACAGGATATATATAGATAGCATATAAAAAATGAAAATATGTTCAACCTTATTAGTCATTAGGGAAATACCAATTAAAACCGCAATGGGAATGCACCTGTTCGAATGGCTAAAGTGAAGAAGACTTTACTAAAGTCCAAATGACCATACCAAATGCTGGCAAGGCCACAGTTTTCTAGCAGTATTGAAATCCCACGGTAGCTTCATTTGAAAAGTCAGAGATTGTAGGCATTACACTTAGGGCCCGCCTTTTTTTTTTTTTTCCCCAATTACGGTTGACATACAATATTATATTAGTTTCAAGTGTATAACATAGCGATTAGACAATGACATAGTTTACGAAGTGATCCCTCCATAACTGTAGTGCCCATCTGACACCATACAGAGTTGTTACAATATGACTGAGGATATTCCCTCGGCTGTACTTTACATCCGGTGACTGTTTTATAACTGATTTAGGAACTGCTTTGAAACAGTTCCTGCAGCATCTTTGTGTTTTCAAGAAATTTGATGGCACTGGTAAGAGCTTTGTCAAGTAGTTATGAGATTTCTGATTAAATAGAGGAACAGCTATTTACAGTTTTAATCATTTTGTAAAACAAACAATTTCAACCAGGATTAATTATTTTTAAATTTGCCAACTTGAAACAGTTGCAGTTTAGCTATAAAGTTTTATCAAAGTGAGGTCTTGCAGGTGCTTTGCATACCCTTCATGCCCAAACTTCATTCACACATTAAAATGTTTTATTGGGTGCATGTTATTTTTATGAAGCAGAAAGTCAAAATTAGTGGAATATAAGTTTAATACCATGTTATTAGTTATAGCACTTTACTTTAATAGATTTCAAGCCTGTGCTGTTAAAACTTTTCTTACTGGCCCGGCCGGCATGGTTCAGTGGTTGAGCGTCGATCTCTGAACCTGGAGGTCACGGTTCGATTCCCCGTCAGTGCATATGCCCCGGGTGCAGGCTCAATCCCCAGTAGGGGGCGTACAGAAGGCAGCCAATCAGTGATGATCTCATCATTGATGTTTCTATTTCTCTCCCTCTCTGAAATCAATGAAAATATATTTGAAAAAAACCACCCTTTTCGTACTGTAAAGTTGTCACATTGTGCTTGCCATGTTCCTAGAAGCTTTGCCATTGTAACAGATGAATGTGCAGCATTGCTGAGTTATCAACATTGTACACTAACAGCACAGATGCTAGTTCAGTGTTATGCAAAATTGCCTGATTCTTACCAGACTTTAATATTTTCTCATTTTTAATAAATTTGCCGTTTTTCGTTTGGCTTTTTTTGATGTTCAGGTAGCTGTGTTACCTGTTGTACTTGAGTATTTAATGTCATAGTATGCTCGGACCAAAACTGATTATAGCCGCAGGTCACCTTGTATTTGATACAATGACTGGCTCTGGAACCATTTATGCAATGTTTATCTGAATGCTACCCAATGGGCTAAGTAAAATGCAGGTTTCTTCAAAACCCCCTTGACTTACTCTTGTCTTTTTTGTGTTGTTCCAAACAATAATGATTACTAGGTTGTTGTTTTGTTTTGTTTTTTTGGCTTGCAAGCCACTTAGAATGGTTTAATTGTAGAATCAATTGTCATCTGTATTGGCCCTGTAGTTGATTTCTTAGATTCTCTTTCCTTTTACTTCTACTCTTTTAGGTATTTATGTAGTTTTCCTATAAATCATTTCTTAATCATAATGATTGTGATAGAGTTATTATATGAATTTATTGGTCCTGTAAAGAGCATTAAAAAGTTAAAAGAATACAATTCTCTACATTAAGTCTTGCCATATAACATTTGAACATGAAGTTCGTAAAACCAGTTGTTTCCATTCTTTTAATGTGTTCTCCATACATTGTGACTCCAGTTTGAGCAGGGAGCAATCCACGTGCATGGTGTAACACTGATTCATGGGAGATGAAAGAAAAACTAAAATGCAGCTAATGTGTCTGTAAGTGAGAAGAAGGAAAAACATAGGGTAAAATAACTTAATATGGTATTAGGAAAATTTCTGAAGCTGTAATATAATTTAGGATACCATACATTTAAAAATCTTAACCTCATAACAGCCAGTGAGTTAAGTAGGATAGATTTATTGCCTTTACTTTGCAGATAAAGAAGAGAAGGCTTAGGAAATTTAAGTGAGAATCATTAAGACCTTGCAGGTTAGGAAAGGATTTCCTAAGGCCTGAAAAGCACAGTCCATAAAAGATTGATTAGTAGTTTTTAAAAAAAAATATAAAATATATGAAATGATCAATAGAAAGGACAGAAGCAATTCCCAGAAGAGGAAACCCAAATGATCAATAACATGAGAGGATGAGTAGCCTCACTTGCAATGTGTGGATGCAAATTAAAAGAGGGGTGGGTAGGGGCACAATAATGGGATACTATTTGTCAGATATTAGATTATCAAAATTAAAATTCCCGACCATACTGTGTGTTTTCAGGGTTGAGAGAGACGGTAATTATCATGTTGCCGGGGAAGGTAATTGGGTACAGTTATTCTCAATGCCACTTGGTAGTGTATATTTACCTGTGCCAGTGAAGAATTTGAAGCAATCTAAATCTCTGTCGGTAGGGGAGTGGGTTAAGAAATGGATATGATCTTGTGATGGGAAATTATACAGCAGTTAAAAGTGATGTACTGAATCTATATAAGTTACAATTGCAAAAACATAATGAAGAGTGAAGAAAGTTATGAAAAAGATATATTATTACTATTTATGTGGCTATAAAGCCATATATATCAAGACTGTATTTCTTCCTGGATATGCATGCATGCATTTAAATATATTTAAAATATCCTAGAGGGATATATTCTGAATTCATATAATTTTGGTTTCTAGATAAAAGGAACTTAACTCTAAGTTAATACTGTTTTTTTGTTTTTTTTTTAATAAGACTTAAAGGAAACATGGAAAATGTTAATTTCAGTTCTGGATGCTAAGGACGTAGGCATTTGTTAAATTATTCTTTCTACTTATACTTTCAAAATTTTGTTTAAAAAAATAAAAAGAAGTTATTATGAAATAGTAGTTGAAAAAACTAGTACTTAAATTTAGGATTTGATTCCCAAGTCTAGAGCTTTTCAATTAATATGCTGCCTCAATATGAGAAGATACTGAGTTTTATAGTAATAAGAATCAGAAGGATTCTATGTTTATGCTAAAATTTTTTAAGAGGAAAGAAAAATTACAAGATAAGTTAGAAATTGTTATTATCCTATATTATTTAAAAATCTTTAAGCATGCTGTTATCATATATGTATAGAGAGCAACCTCAGTACTTAGGAAAAAGTTACCTTAATGTATTGTTTAAAATGTGATTCATATTTCTGTTGCATGTAATGGAAGACATTAGATGATTTGAAATTTTAATATAAAATTAATGAAAATAACTTAATCCAAATATACAATCTGACTTCAAGCTAAAAGAGTCAAAATGAGCTTTTCTTCCATTGTGTAAAGTCAAGAGTGACAAAAACTTCACAGCCTTTTTATTTACAGCTTCTCTCCAAGATAAAATGGCAAAACCCAAAGAGAAAACTCCAATGTGTCTGGTAAATGAGTTAGCCCGTTTCAATAGAGTCCAACCCCAGTATAAACTTCTGAGAGAAAGAGGGCCCGCTCACGCGAAGGTAAGGTTACGAAGCCAGGCGGTGAGACACGCTTCTCAAAGTCTATCAGATTTATCATCTCAGGTTTTCATTGTGCTTCATTTTTGGGGGTGGGGGCGGCAGATGTCCTGAAGGCTCTTAGTTCCATATTAAAAATATTTTGAAGTCTGTCACTGGACAGCTTTGTAGCTTTTTATGGTTTACAAAACGTAGATACAGTACTTCCCCAAATCACAAGAGATACGGCTTTTTGATTTTCTTTTTATAAACTAAGAAACTCAGGCACAGAAAAGTTAAATGACTTGCTTAATAGTTCATAAATGCCCGTGACAACATTGACTATGTGTTCTTTGGCTCCCAAGTGTAGTGCTCTTTCCGTTAAATCATAGCTGCTGCAGTAACACTGCGAGTACAGCGATGGTTACCTAGGAGTGAGACATCTTTTCCATTGTTTAATTCCGAGACTCACCATTTATAGAAGTTGTATAACCAGTATTGTTATTATCTGTGCATTCACTTGTAATATTGTTCTTTTAAATGGAAAAACAACTTATATTTCTATATGTAGCCTTATACATGTATGTTTACATATATACCTGTTACAAAGAAATCTGTAGCTAGTGCATATGGGTTTTAAAAAGTCTCAGTTGTGCATAAAAATCCTTGGTACATTTTGAATCTTGGATATTAAAGATTATGATAATGATCATCAATTTTTGTATAGAATGTGGAGGCATTGATTCTGTAAAAGCTGGTTTATTTTTGTAAAGCAACTAGCTCTTGGATTATTAAATTGTTTTCTAGCATCTCCTTTAAAGAAGGAAAATAAGATGAAATTAAAATCCGTCAATTTTGTTTTCTATTAGAGGCTTTTATGAAGGATTCTGGGCAACGATTTACATAATATCTTTTGTTTAGAGAAGAAGGTTATGTATGGCCTTGGTCTAACTCTCTAATCATACCTCCTCTTTCATACCTGTTAATTCATACCCCCTTTTTAAAAAAATATTTTTATTGGTTTCAGAGAGGAAGGGAGAGGAAGAGAGAGAAACATCAATGATGAGAGAGAATCATTGATTGGCTGCCTCCTGCATGCCCCACACTGGGGATCAAGCATGCAATCTGGGCATGTGCCCTGACTGGGAATAGAACCGTGACCTCATGGCTCATAGGTCAAGATGAGAGAGAATCAATGATTTGGCTGCCTCCTGCATGCCCCACACTGGGGATCAAGCATGCAATCTGGGCATGTGCCCTGACTGGGAATAGACCGTGACCTCATGGCTCATAGGTCAGTGCTCAACCATTGAGCCATGCTGGTGGGCATGCATAGGATTTTTTGTTGTTGTTAACCCTTACTTGAGGATATTTTTTCCATTGATTTTTTTTTTTTTTGAGAGTGGAAGGGAGAGACGGAGGGAGGGGGGGAAGGAGAAAGAAAGAGGGAAATTTTGACTTGAGAGAGACAAATTGATTGGTTGCCTCCACATGCCCTGACCAGGGATTGAACTTAAATTTTAACATAAAATTCATGAAAATAACTTAATCCAAATTTACAATCTGACTTCAAGCTAAAAGAGTCAAAATGAGCTTTCCTTCCATTGGGTAAAGTCAAGAGTGACACAATCCTGCAACCCAGGTATGTGCCCTTGTACGTGAATCAAACCTGTGACCCTTTGGTACATGGGCCGATGCTCTAACCATTGAGCAAGCCGCCAGGGCAGTTATGTATAGGATTTTTAAAAAATCCTTGGTAAAATAATTATTGAGTATTTGCTACATGATACTCACTGTTCCTGCACTGCAGCTTTCTCCTCTGCCATATGCTGTGATACCACTTTTTACATATTCTCAATACAAGTCCTTCATTAATGTGCTTGGCGAATATTCCCTCCTAGTCTGAGTCTTATCTTTTCTTTTTTTAACAGTGCCTTTCAAAGAGCAGTTGTTAATTTTGATTAATTCCCCGACATCCATTTGTTCTCAGATAAATTGTGCTTTTGGTATCATATCTAAGAAATCTTTGCCTCATCAGAGATCATAAGATTTTCTACTATGTTAGCTTCTAGATGTTTTATAGTTTTAGGTTTGACATTAAGTCTTAACATTTAGGTCTAACTGCCATTCTGACTTAATTTTTTTATGTGATGTGAGATATGGAACAACGTCCAGATTCTATAAAACCAACAGCTTTTGATTTTATTGTTGTTTGAAGAGTTGATTCTTTCTCCACTGCATTGCCTGTGCCCCTTTGTCACAAATCAGCTTTCTGTATATGTGTTTCTTTAATCCTGGACTCTGTTCTGTTGATCTGTTTTTCTATCTTTATGCTGGGCTGTTTTGATTACTGTACCTTTGTAATTCTTGAAATCGCATAGTATTAGCCCTCTAATTTGGTCCCTTTTCAGGATTGTTTTGGCTATTTTACAGCCTTTGCATTTTCATATGAATTTTAAAGTCAGCTTCCCATTCTGTAAAACAGATGTTATTTTGAATAGAATTGCCATAAATCTATAGCTCAATTTGGCAAAAATGAAGATATTAGAAGCATTGAATCTTCCAATCCATCCACAAAATGTATCTCTCATTTATTTACTCTTTAATTTCTTTCAGAAATGCTTTGTAGTTTTCATTGAGCAGGTATTTCACATCTTTAGGTTTATCCTAAGTATTTCATATTTTTGATGCTATTGTAAGTGGTATTGTTTTTTATATTTTAGTTTCTATTTGTTTTTATTTATCATTGCTGTCCTATAAAAATACACTGGTTTTTATATACGGATCTAGTAGCCTGCAAGTCTTGTTAAACTCACGTATCAGTTCTAGTAGCTTTTTTTTTTTTTTTATGCTGTTGGATGTTCCACATGCCATTTGTGAATAAAGACAATTTTAAATCTTACTTTCCAATCTGAATGTTCTTTATTTATTCTTCCCTAATTGCATTGGCTAGAACGTACAGTACAATGTTGAACAGAAGTTACGGAAGCCAATATCTCTATCTTGTTCCTGATCTTATGGGCAGCCATTTAAAATCCTCCCCCCACCCCATTAATTGTGCTGTTATATATAGCTTTTTTTGGTAGCTGCCTTTAAACAGATTGAGGAAATTCTTTTATAATTATCATTTCCTGAGAGTTTTTAACCTGAATAGATGTTGATTTTTGTCATATGGTTCTACATTGATTGAGATGGTCGTATGGTTTTTTGTTTTTCATCTTTTGACATTGTGAATTACATTGATTCTCAAGTGTAGAAACCACCCTTGCATTCCTAGAATAAAACACTTGGTTAAAATGTATTATCGCCGAAACCGGTTTGGCTCAGTGAATAGAGCATCGGCCTGCGGACTGAAAGGTCCCGGGTTCGATTCCGGTCAAGGGCATGTGCCTGGGTTGCGGGCACATCCCCAGTGGGAGATGTGCAGGAGGCAGCTGATCGATGTTTCTCTCTCATCGATGTTTCTGACTCTCTATCTATCTCCTTTCCTCTCCGTAAAAAATCAATAAAAAAATATATAAAAAATAAAAAAAAAGTTAAAAAATGTATTATCTCAGTTCTATATTGATGGATTCCATTTGGTAATATTTTGTTAAGGATTTTTTACGTTTAGTTGTGTGAGAGAGATAGTCTGTAGTTTTGTTTTCTTCAGTAGTATCGTACTCTGGGTTTTGGTATCAAGGTAATGTTGGCTTCATAGAATAAGTTGGGGAGTGTTCCTTCAATTTTTAGAAGAGTTTGTATAAATTGGTATTATTTCTTCCTTAAACATTTGGTGGAATTTGTTATTGAAACCATCCGGGCCTGGAGTTTTTCTTTGTGGAAAGAGTTTTAAATACATATTTACTTTCTTTAACATATATAGGGGCTATTAGGGTTACCTATGTCCTCTTGAATGAGCTTTAGTAATTGTGTCTTTCAAGGAATTTAGGTTGTTGAGCTTATTGGCATAAAATTAGAAAGTGTTCACTTGTTATCTTTCAATACTTTAAAGACTATGTAGTGATGTTACCTCTCTTATTCCTGATATTGGTAATTTGTGTCTTCTCTTTTTTTCATGATTCGTCTGGCTACAGGTTTACCAATTTCATTGATCTTTGCAAAAAAATAGCTTTTAGTTTTGTTGATTTTTTTCTGTATTGTTTTACTGTCTTGTTAATGTTTGCTTTTATCTTTATTAATTCTTTTCTGTTTACTTTAGATTGCTTTCTCCAATTCCTTAAGATGGAAGCTGAAATTAACTTATTTGATCTCTTGCTTCTTTTTATTATAGGCATTTAGTGCTAGAAATTGGTAAATGTTTTATGAGAAATTGAAATTCATGTATATTCTGTTCTTTTTGGGTAGAGTGTTCTAAAAATATCATCCAGGTTATGTTCATTGAGTGTAGTTCAATTCTAATAAATTCTCTGAGATTGTCTGCTTGATAATTGTTAGATCAGTTATTGAGAGAGAGGGTATTGAATCTCTGACTTTAAGTGTCGGTTTTCTGTTTCTCTTCACAGTTCTATTAGTTTTTGCTTCACAGATTTTTAAAAATTTTACCAGTTTTTTGTTTTAAATATGTTTTTATTGATTTTAGAGAGAAAGGAAGGGAGAGGAAGTAAGAAACATTGATATGAGAGTAAAACATTGATCAGCTGCCTCCTGTACACCCGCTACTGGGGATTGAGCCTGCAACACGGGCATATGCCCTGACCCTGAATCTAACTGGAGACCTTTGGGTTGACGCTCAAACAACTGGGCCACACTGGCCAGGGCTACTTATGTTCTTATTTGATCTTGTAAAAGATCAAAGACATTCTTCTACATAACCACAATACTGTATCATCACTTAAGAAATTTGACTCTGACTGAACATATTATTTGATACATGTATAGTCCACAGTCAAATTTCCTGAGTTGTTCTCTAAATGCCTTTTCTACTTTTTTGTCTTCCAAGTACACACCCAATCAAGGGTCATTTGTTGTACTTGATCATATGCATTCATGTTTCTTGAGCATCCTTTAATCTATAATAGCTATTATTCTTTTGTTTTGTTTTTTCCTTTCATGACATTGTTATTTTTGAAGAGTATAGTCCAGTTATCTTATAGAATATACCATCATCTAGATCTGTCTGATTGTTTCCCTGTGGTTAGATCAGCCGTGGGCAAACTACGGCCCGCGGGCCAGATCCGGCCCATTTGAAATGAATAAAACTAAAAAAAAAAAAGACCGTACCCTTTTATGTAATGATGTTTACTTTGAATTTATATTAGTTCACACAAACACTCCATCCATGCTTTTGTTCCGGCCCTCCGGTCCAGTTTAAGAACCCATTGTGGCCCTCGAGTCAAAAAGTTTGCCCACCCCTGGGTTAGATTGAGGTTAAACATTTTTGGTCAAGGATATTCAGTCTTCTCACTGGGTCATATCAGGAGGTTCATGATGTCAGTTTGTGTGATTATTGATGATTTAACTTAATCACTTGGCTAAGGTATTTTCTGCCTGACTTCCTTCCTGCGATTATTTCTTTTTAATTGAAAAGTATTTGGGGTTAATACTTTGTATTCCTAGAGAGTACTAAGCTATATGTGGACTAAAATAGTGGATTGTGTTCGTATCCTGTAACTTGATTCTAAATTCTCAAGGTGAGCAATAGGTTTGGGGCTCATATGGAAATATGGTGTGAATGGAAGGTTAGGGTGTGAAGTGAAGACTGACAGGTGGGAGCAGCTAGGACGGGAACAGTCGAAGGGTTTTAACCTGCTGTTGGTTGGGGTGATGCAATTGGATTTGAGTTTTAGGAAGATAGTTTTAGCAGAAATCAGGTGGGAGATTATTATGTCTGAGCTAACGATGATGAAAGTCTGACTCCAACACAGACAGAGAGGTTTGAGAAATAATGGACAGATTTTGGTGACGGGTTAAATGTTGGTTGTGGAGGATCGAGAGTATCTTGGTGACATAACATTTGATAGGATTGCCTGACTTACTGACTCGATCATGCTAAGTATGAGTTTAAAGAATTTAATTTTATAAAGTGTTACAGACACAGGGCCTTTTGGGTTCCCTTACAGTTTCTCTGAACTCTTTGTACTTACTCTACTTTTTTGAGGACTATTTGAATGGCATTAACAGCATGATCCTTTTTAGGGACATGATTTCTTTTGACTTTTCTACCCCAAATGTACATGTATGCCTTTCAGCCTTTGGATAGGACAGAACAGATTTGGCCCAAGCTCTTAAAATTCTTTCACAAGGTAGAATCATAACAATTCTGTTGCAAATGATTTGTAAGGGACCTCTAGCTCTAAAATGTTGATTCTGTGATGTATCTATTTTTCTCTCGGATAGCACATTTGATTTCCTGAAAACTTTTTTTTAAAATATTTTTTTATTGCTTAAAATATTTTAACGAGTAGTACATTTTTCTCCTTTTTTTTTTTTTGATTTCCTGAAAACTTTTAATGTTTTTCTTCCTCTCTGTGTTTTTCTAAGATGTTCTCAGTGCAGCTGAGCCTCGGTGAGCAGACATGGGAATCGGAAGGGAGCAGTATCAAGAAGGCCCAACAGGCTGTTGCTAGTAAAGCTTTGACTGAATCGACGCTTCCCAAGCCAGTTCAGAAACCGCCCAAAAGCAATGTTAATAATAACCCAGGTATGAGCAGACTCATCTCCTCTGTCCTGCTGTGTGTTCTATGTGTGCCGTCTCTGTCCGTTACAGCAGGCCAGTTGTGTAGCCAGCAGGTGTGTTAATAGTACATATGAGAAAGACGGGTGGATGATAACTGCGCGTGAGAGAATGTAGAAGGTAATTGTAATTAATTAAAAATGTTGCCTTAGTGGATACTATCATGGTGCATTACTGACTTTTTCTTTCTTTTCTTAAAAGTATTTTTTATTATTGATTTTTTTTGAGAGAGACAGAGGAAGGGAGAGGGAGAGGGAGAGAAACATCGATGTGATCTATCGGTTGTCTCCTGTATGCCCCCCACCGGGGATTGAGCCCACAACCTGGGCATGTACCATGACCAGGAATTTTCAGAATCAAACCAATAACCCTTCAGTTCATGGGACTGATGCCCGATGGAGCCACACCAGCCAGGGCCATTACTTATTTTTTAATCTTGGGCGAAAAGAAATTTGGATACAAAGAACAGAAATAAGATTGAATTTTTTCCTAAAGTTAAGATAGAAATGATCAATTTTTCTTTTTAAATATATCATATAAAATTTAATAATTAAAATGGTTATTCTTTTTTTAGTTTAATAAAAAATTATAAAATTAGCCTAAGCATCTTCTTACTCTGTTTGTTGGTGTTGAAATGATTGATATTCAGTTTAGGACATTTGTATGAAATTTAGTAAAAAATCCACAAATTAAAAAAAAAGCAACCCCACCTGTGTTTAATATAATGAATGTTCTAATTTTAAGCTCCTACTAATAATTTTTTAAAATATATTTTTATTGATTTCAGAGAGGAAGGGAGAGGGAGAGAGAGAAATATCAATGATAAGAGAGAATCATTGATCAGCTACCTCCTGCATGCCCCCCACTGGGGATCGAGCCCTCAACCCGGGCATGTGCCCTTGACCGGAATCGAACCTGGGATTCTTCAGTCCGCAGGCTGACGCTCTGTCCACTGAGCCAAACCAGCCCGGGCTCCTACTAATAATTTAAAAAAGTTGTTCTGCATATATGCCAACAACATTATATGTCCAGTAATCTATTGGGAAGAGGCAAACCTGTATGGGACATAGTGCAATTCACAACATCAAATTAATAAAGTTTCAGAAGTTTAGTACCAGCCCTACATCCCTTTACTTATTCGTTAACTTATTAATTCACGTGGTTACCTCTGACCTGTATTGCTTTAGGTGTTTTTGTGGTGGAGTACAGAAAGACATTTTGCCTGCCAACAGTGACCCTATAATCTGTTTAATTATAGTTTACACACTTATGTTTGTAATCAAGGCAGACACTTCTTGTGCTCACGTGGCACTTGTTAGATAAGACAGTCTCCTTTTGCAAGGACTGTTCTTTCCAGAACTCCGTGACTTTCCTATTGCTAGGCCTTTGGCTTCTGTCCAGCTGAGTCTAGTATTTCTGAAGTAAGTTTAAAGAAGCCAAACTATTATTATAATAAAGAAAAAAAAACTGTTCAGTTTGAAGTTGATAAGAGGCTACCTACTTATTTAATTTTTAAAATCTCTTTAGATTACTGGTTTATCGTTAGGACGCCACCACTACTTCTGTTTGTTAAGAACTGACTTGTATACATAGATCTAAGAAGTATATAAAATGTAAGATTTTACGGTCATTTACATGAATCACATAACTCAGTGGTAAAGTGAATAATAACAGCCATTGGTGCTGTAAGTCATGGTAACACGGCTGGAGGTAGTTGAGGTGAGATGTGGGCCTTGACTGGAGAGTGGGCAGGCATGGAGGAGAGGAAGGAAGACTCTACTCTGAGGAAAGGCATTGGAATTGGAATCTGGACAATTGGTTTGTTTTTTAAAAAAGTTGTAGATGGTTTTTAGTTAGAACAGGTAAGTGACCATTATGAGATAAGACTGAAGATGTAGCCCGGCTGGTGTGGCTCAGTAGGTTGGTGTGGTCCCATGCACCAGAAGGTCCCAGTTCGATTCCTGGTTAGGGCACATGCCCAGATTGCAGGCTTAATTCCCGGGAGGGGGCATGAGGGAGGCAGCTGATCGATGTTTCTCTCTCTTTGATGTTTCTCTCTCTCCCTCTCCCTTCTTCTCTCTGAAATCAATTAAAAAATATATATCCTATATAATAAAAGGCTAATATGCAAATCGACCGAATGGTGGAACAACTGGTTGCTATGATGTGCACTGACCACCAGGGGGCAGATGCTCAACATAGGAGCTGCCTCCTGGTGATCAGTGCGCTCCCACAGGGGGAGTGCTGCTCAGCCAGAAGCTGGGCTCATAGCTGGCAAGCACAGTGGTGGTGGTGGTGGTGGGAGCCTCTCCTGCCTCCGCGGCAGCGCTAAGGAGCAGCGAGCAGAGTGGTAAGGACCAAGGGTTCCCAGACTGCAAGAGGGCACAGGCCAGGCTGAGGCAATCCCTCCCCCCACTCCGTGCATGAATTTCATGCATCGGGCCTCTAGTATGTTATGCAATCACAACTCTACAAATATTGGAAACTAGCCAGTATGACCTGTCTCCTTAATATTTTAACACCATCTTTGTTAAAAAGGTCATGTCATACTCTAATACCTATAGTTAATTTAACAAAGTGCTACTAGTACATTTACATTCGAGATTAAAATATATAGAAACTGCTCATAGCTTTTACTCATAGATACTTAAATAAATAAGAAATTTGAAGAAAGGAACTTATATCACAAAATTTATATCTGGAAAATATTAAAAACATGAAAATTTAAGTATTATATTAAAAAGTGTTTCCCCGAGTATATATTTTTTCTATACATCTGTGGCTTTTAGACTATTTGCAACATTCATGATTACTTTTAGAAGTAAAATTCACATCTCTACATTATTAAGAGCATTATTTTTTTACATATTGTGTGTTTGTAGATGTACATATATCTGTGTTTGTATGTCATTTGCGTCTGTGAACCTGTTTGTCTGGATGCACATTTGTGTCTGTGTGTGTATTAGAATTACTTGAAATAGATACCAGAAAAGGAGATACATATTCAATACTATAACAAACATACATGTAATGATCAAAAATAAAATAATTCTCAAAAATAAATGTTAAAATGCTCAAAAATAAAATCTTTGAACTTTCAGGTCCCTTTGTAAAAAATATTTCAAAATTAACCACTTATTCTTTACAAGTAACTCTTGTAAATAAACAAAATAATGCCAGTATTCTACGTTGAATTTTTTTAATGTCCTCGGAATATGTCAAATTTTAATAATTTTCTCAGAGTCATTTGGAAACTGTACATTAAATATACACACTTTATGACTATTGCTATCCCACCATGCAAGCAGTTTTCCTTTTCCCTGACTTGAAATCTGTGTGGCGAAGGAAAGCCTGAAAGCTAATGGGATTGCACTCAGGCTGGGACCTCAGAGCGCTGCTTTTAGAATTTTGTGGAAAATGAAACAAAACCTCATAATGAAACAAATTATACAATTAAATAAAAAGTAGCAGCTGGGAATTGCAAGGATTTTTTGTGAAAATCACAGCAAACATTGCTTAACGTTTTAGAATCAGATTGTTATCTGCTATGGAAGGTTCCCAGCGGCAGCTCAATTACTACTACTCATTGGGAACTTGCATTTCTGCAAAACATTTCTTCTCTGCTCACCTCAATTATGATAACACAGTGAAACACATTCCTTCACTTAGGAAAAAATATATACTAAGACCTGATAATGCCAATTTAAAAGACGTGTTAATTGTTCTCTATTCAAATTTAAGCAGTGCCTTATATATGATTTTAAACATTCAAGCTGCTCATTGTTAAAATGGCACTGAAATGTGAACATTTACTTTAGATTATTTGAATGTGTGTAATATACATTAGCTGTTTTTGTATACATATGTGTGCGTGATTACAGATATAGCACACCTCTATATTTGATATGCTTCTGATTTGAAAAATTTCATATCAATGTTGCTATAAGTATTTATAGTGTCTAATAATGTGAACTGTTTTTATTTGAAAAGATAGTGTATAAAATTAGATTCTATATTTGTTGAATAAACTCATTCTCTTTGGTTGGGGGCAATCAATATGACATTAATAATACCTAGTTCTAAAACAAGTTGGGGTTTTTTTTGTTGTTTTTTTTTTACATTTCTGAAATCTCAATCTCTTTGCAATCAACTGCTATTATTACTA